TTTCCCAGCAATCGCCAACTTCCAATTCTAGCTTTTGTGCAGGATAGTATTGTTCTTAAATTCTTAAATTGACTTGCAAAACTGATGATTCGCTTCTCTCCACATCGGGTTTGGTCAAAGCTGCTACGAAGCCCTTCTGAATAGCATCTACATGCAACTCACAAGAAAGAGAAAATTCACATAAACCGGTGGTGAAAGTAAACTGGCACGTAACTCACATGATAAATGTCCCTGCTCTGGTCCTCATTCCCATATTCTCTCCGAAATCTTACTTTTCCATTTTCCTTTTCTTGGGGGATGAGGAAGAAGTTTACTTCAAGGTCTGGCGATTTGCAAAATTGGCAACAAAACCCACTTCAAATAGATTAACAAAATATCGCGATCATTAAATAACTAAGAAAGATGCATGTGTGCTCATACATATAGAGTGAAAACAAGCCATTCCGCCGATGAAGAATTTTGCTTATTTAATGACAAAAATTGCAAAGTTCATTGTTCAGGAAATGTCCATTTATATTGCGTTAAACATCGTCATTGAGTTGTGATCACGTGGTTACAATCGGGGAAAGAATCTACAGTCAGGTGAGGACTACAGGACAAAACATATGTGCCCTTTCCTACAGACGTTGTGCGTTTAAATATGGAGAAGCATCTGTTTCTTAAACAATTAAGCTCTTTAAACATTAAACACAATACTCATCTCAAACCAAAATCACCCCCCCCCCCCCCCCCCCACACACACACACACACACACCCACCCACCCCACCCCCCACCAAATTCCTTAAATATCAAATGGTAATTCTATTCCCTAATGCAGGTCTGACTTTGATTGCGTCAAGTATTTCGTGTTTTTAATTCAATAGAGCAGAAAAAGCTAACTTAGATCCAAACAAATCGCTGAGAAATCAGAAATGTAAATGATGATCACCTGTAGCCTTCACATTTCTCAAAATGTCAATTTACGTCCAATTCCTTATGCAGATTACAGCCGTTGATTCTTATTTCCAAAATGTACGCTAACGGACATAATATTTAAATTGTCGCGGTAGTAAGTGCTTGAGAAATGCAGTATTTATGTCGTTAAGAATGATAAATATATCAAGGGAGACAACTCTTCAGACATTGCGTATATATAGGCTGTGAAAGCGAAGTTTATCATTGCCGGAGTAACGGTTGGGTGTTGGTATTAACCTTAACTCAACTAAAGAAATCTGAAACAAATCAACTAATTTATCAACAGCAATATAATGAATTACGAAGGAAATATGACACTTACAAATCTATATTTACAGATGGATCCAAGGATGGTGACACTGTTGCAAGCGCCACTGTCATTGGGTCTAGGACTGTCTCATCCAGATTACCTGATAACTGTTCTATTTTCACAGCAGAAGCAAATGCTATTTTAACAGCACTTAAATATATCAACAGCCAAACTAAACATAAACAGTACATATTTGTTTCAGATTCTCTTTTTTGCCTTCAGACTATTACAAACCTTTAATGCACACATCCACTTTTAATTGAAATTGTTGAATTGTTTAATGATCTTGCTACTGGCCAATACGACATCGTGTTCTGTTGGTTACCCAGCCATGTTGGGATTATAGGTAACACAATGGCCGATGCTGCTGCAAAAACAGCACTCAACAAATCTGTGACACCACTTCTGATCCCGTGCACTGATTATAAACCTGTTATAAGATCTTACATCAAAGATCTTATACATAAGAAGTGGGACACCCAAGTAGGTATCAATAAATTACATGCAATAAAACCATATACTGGTTACACTTGGGTTGTCAGTCCAGATTTGAAGAGGTCATAGCACGACGATGTCGTATTGGCCACAGTAGGTATACTCATGAATTTATTTTAAAAGGTGAGGATCCTCCATTCTGCATACCTTGTGATGAAAGAATCACGGTCAAGCATGTCCTGCTGGATTGTATTGATTTTTCCGTCACAAGGGATCAATATTTCAAAGCATCGTCTATTAAGGATCTTTTTACTAGTATCAAATCCCGTTTAATTATAGATTTTATAAAGCATATTGAATTGATTGCAAAATTTTGATTAATAATATTGTATAAAAACTATGTTTTAAATTTGGTAGATTAAATTAACAACTGCGATTGTTAGTGGCTATATCCTCGAAGGGGGTTAAAGTACAGTACAAATATTGTCCCCCAGAGAGGATAATTAAGTTCCATTTCTTTCAAAGTAAATTGATAGCTATCACAATTTTAATGGTAGTATATTTGTTAGTTTTAACTGATGGTTAATATTGACTACAATCGCCAGCGACTGAAGGGATGGTGTAAATCCTGCTGGGGAGCCGTGCAGGTAGCAAAAGCATCGTACGTCCCCTCGGTCCCTAGTATGGTGGCCTAACTTTGGTTGCTGGCGATCTATAACCCGTTTTTATATTGTGTTGTTGAATTGTAGTGTATTCTTTTATATACTCTCAAACTAGTTTTAACTAACATCTGTGGTATTCTAGTTATTGTATTGTCCTTTGGCGACAGGTATTTTACAAATTTGTAATCAAATGTTTGACTTTATCTCGTCACGATATGGCTGCAATTTTGCCGATGTGACGTTAAATTTTAACTCACTCACTCACTCCAATGTCACAGAACGACGTTATTTTGAGGGAAACTCACTGGTTAGAAACTTCCAAGCGTCCATAAGGAGTAGTTTTCCATCCAATGACCATATACCAATGGCCAATGGATACAACGCTACTTTCTCCAACGAGAACGTCCATAGTTATTATATCTATTTAAAACAAGTGTAAATGTCGTTTCCGTTTCTCTGATTGGTTATTGCGAGAGAAACCATATGAGATGTAGCAGGACGTGGAGTCATCCCACAGATGTCATCCTTACCTTGTCAGCTTAACCTCTTTGGTCATGTGGACAAGGCGTCCGACCTCGGATCAGAAGGTCCGTGGTTCGAATCCCATCACGGGACTCGGATATTTTATGGCCTCAACACAGAGCTTCCGCAGCTCCTCCGTGTCTCCCAGTCTCCTTTCATCTTTCATCCTCGTTAGTGACTTAAATTCCCTTTGACAATCAGCCATTGAAGGACAAGTCGCCAACCGAGAAGGCCATTGCAGGTTGAACGCAGCACTGGACACACGTAATTGACTGATGGTGAGATGAGTGAGTGAGTGAGTGAGTTGGGTTTAACGCCGCTTTTAACAGTATTCCATTTATATCGCGGCGTGTCAGCTTAATGTGGGAGGAAAGCCCGAAGTGATGCAGGTCTCAGACGTTTACCACTTCGGTGAAACCCACGGGCATGGTACGGTGCTAACAAACCTAGAAACATAATCGGGGCGAACCGGGATTCGAACCACAACCATAGGTTTCTGGCGTGCCCAAGGGACGCTACTCTGCACAGCTAATCGCGGCGCCTTAGACGACTGGGCCACTCGTGCCCCCGATGGTGAGATTAGGTGATGTATATTTTTTTTTAGTTGAAAGACAAATGAAGTTAGACATTAAAATTTACAAATTGTCAGTGAAGGAGCAACCATTTCATTACTGGTGGGGGTTTCTGAAAATAATAATCACATCCCTGTTTTACGGAAAGTTTGTGCCTCGCATTGTGTAGTCCTCGCCACCTGAAATAGATTAACAAAATATCGCGATTATTCAATAACTACGAAAGACGCATGTGTGCTAATACATATGGAGTAAAAACAAACCATTTCACCGAAAAGAATATTACTTACTGTAATGACAAAAAATGCAAAGTGCACTGTTCAAGAAATGTCCATTTATATTGCGTTAAACATCGTCATTGAGTTGAGATCACGTGGTTACAATTCGGGAAAGAATCTGCAGTCAGGTGATGACTACAGGACAAAACATATGCGCCCTTTTCTGCAGACGTGGTGCGTTTACATATGGAGAAGCATATGTTTATTAAACAATTAAGCTCTTTAAACATTAAGCACAATACTCATCTCAAACCAAAATTCCACTAATGCAGGTCTGATTTTGATTGCGCCATGCGTGCGCATGCGCACAAGTATTTTGTGTTTATAATTTAATGGAGCAGAAAAAAGCTAACTTAGATCCAAACAAATCGCTGAGAAATCAGAAATGTAAATGAAGATCGCCTGTAGCCTTCACATTTCTCAAAATGTCAATTTACGTCCAATTCCTTATGCAGATTATAGCCGTTGACGCTTATTTCCAAAATGTACGCTAACGGACATAATATTTGAACATTTTTCGGGATTCTTGGCATTTATTTTAAAGGTAATCGTGGGGAAAATAATGTGTATACGGTGTTTTCTCGTGTGTTCTAACAGTTGATGTCAATAATAACCAGACACCCTAACATTCACGCATATGACATGTGACTCGTGCGGCGATTCTTACGTTTTATAATGCCTAAAATAAACTGTGCGAGTTTGATACCCGAACACGCTTGCCTACCTATCAACTAAGTTATTGCAGACAAAAAATAGAAAAATATTTAGTTCAGTTAAGACATTATAAAAATGATTGTATCAAGCCCTTTTTTCCCATGTTGTCACGTTTGAGTTATGCTTTTAGAAGCTCGTGCGTTTCTTTGCTTAAAAATGACATTAATTATTTAGTACTGAATGGTATTATATTCATCCTTTACATAGCATTTATGTGCTATTATTGTGTTGCCATCATAAATACTATCTTGTATTTATTTTCTGTAGAATAGATACAGTGATCAATAGTTAATCAAGGTAATCGACACGTCCAGTTAAATATTTGATTGGTTATCTATCAGTTCTGCTTGTAGTGATAACATAAATATTTCGGAAAAATCACTTTGTGCTTCAAGACTCCCGCGGAGCAAAAGTGAAAATGCTCAACAGCGCTTCAATCTGTGGTCTTTTATTTACTTTTTCCGTTTACGCCATTGCTAACCAAAATACAATCAGGAAAGGAACCGATACCGTGCAGCTGACAGATGGCATGCACTTTAAAGTAGCCAACAGGTTGACATGTGCTATGAGTTGCTGCAAAACACTCAGTAGTTGCGGCTTCTTCTTTTCGAAAGCTGGACGTTGTCAGTGTCTAAAGGAGTACGGGGGCTATGAAATATGGACAGCAAACCTCAAGAGAAGTAAGTTATTATGTTTCTATGTGTGTATGACTTTACGCCGCCTTTAGCAATATTCCAGTGCTATCATGGCGGGGGATACTAGAAATGGGCTTCACACATTGTACCCGGGTCTTCAGCGTGACGAGCGAAAGCTCTAATCACTAGGCTACCCGAGGTAAGCAATACGTTCTGAAACATTGCACGTCATACGGGGGCTGATTAAAAAGCTCTTAGCCTAGGAAACAAAACCATAAATTGTCAAAGCGTTTTTAATATTATTTTCTACATAATCTTCCTGCTTTTCAATACACACCTCATATTGATAGTGAATCTTTTCAATTCCTGTCAGTAAGCAGTTTTCTGAAGCCATCTTGAAATACCCAGGTATCAGGTAATCGTTGTCATCATAGCGCTTTCCACATATGTGTTCTTTAAGTTAAGTAAACCGGTGAAAATTACTTTATGCCAGGTCTGGCAAGTTCTGAGGGTGAAGAAGGTCTTCGAACCCACATTGTCGCACAGCAGCCTTTGCAAGTCGAGAAGCGTGAGAAGAGGCATTGTCATGAAATAGAAGAACTCAATCTGTCAGCATTCCTTGCCGCTTTTCATTGGTAGAATCTCTCAGGCGGCGAGGGGCGGTCGGGTAGCCCAGTGATTAAAGCATTCGCTCGTCACGCCGAAGACCCGGGTTCGAATCCCGACATGGGTACAATGTGTGAAGCCCATTTCTGGTGTCCCCCGCCGTGATGTTGCTGAAATATTGCTAAAAGCGGCGAAAAACCAAACTCACTCACTCACTCACTCAGGCGGTGAAGCAAATCAGCATAGTAGGCACCGTCGCTGTAATCGTCTTTTTACTTTCTACGTAATCAACAAGGATCACACCCATTGCACCCCAGAATACAGTGGCCATAACTTTCTTCACTGATCTTGACGTCTTGAATTTCTTTGGTGCCAGAGAAGTGGGATGGTGCCATTCCATGGATTGACATTTTGACTCGGGATCATGGTGGTAGACCCATGTTTAATCTCCCTTTAATAATCCCTTTTTTGAATTTGACGCAATTCTCCTCAATTACCTCTAAATTTCCTCTGTCATCGGACAGTATATATCTCCTGGTTGAATATTCCTTGATTGAAGATGAGGGACGTGGCTTGTTCTCCCAGCCTTAAACATAGCTGCCCAACGTTTAACAGCGGAATAGCTAGGGCACTTATCCCCATGCGGTCATGAATATCCCAGGTAGTACTATTCTCTGAAGTCAAAAGCTTAATGACTGATTGGTACTCATTCTTTTCATTTTCTGTGTTCATTTGGACCCCAATCACGTTCACCGGTCTGATACTTATATACTAACGGCTTCAACAGACCAAGTAGATTTGCAATGAACTACCCAAACAATGCACTACTTTGACTGGTTCACTTTGTTGTGGTCCATAGTTGAAAGGTTGTCAGGCTTAGAACTTTTTGACCAGCCTCGTATTTATTTTCATGATTTGGTTGGTTGGTTGGTTTGTTGTGATACACCGCCCTCAGCAATATTCCAGCTATATGACGGCGGTCTGTAAATAATCGAGTCCAGACAATCCAGTGATTAATACCATGAGCATCGATCCACGCAATTCGGATCGATGACATGCATCAACCAAGTCAGCGAGCCTGACCACCCGATCCCGTTAGTCGTCTTTTACGACAAGCATAGTCGCCTTTTACGGCAAGCATGGGTTGCTGAAGACCTATTCTACCCCGGAATCTTCACGGGTCATATTTTCATGAAAACGAGATACTTAAAGATGAATTTGTTTGGCGTGGACGATTTAGACTGATTTGAATGCACTGAATTAGTCTTTAATGCTCTGGAATCCCAGCCTGTTGTCTGCACTATGAATGTCTTTAAAGGAAAGAAAACCTGAATACATACTATCGTTACGCGTATATTACTCAAAACATTTTGTAATCACAGTTAATCCGCATTAGTATATATTTGAGCTGATTTCAAATTATGGCTAAATTTACTAAAAACCACCAAGGAATAAACGCATAGTGTTAAACGTCTCTGGGTACCGTGCTGGGAGCAGTGATGTCTCTTTGAGAGCCTCATGATAATTAAATATTATGTCATATTTTGTAAAACAAAAATATTATGTGTTAGCCAACTAGTTTTAAAAGAATATCTGTTATATGATGATGTTTGTTTTGTTGCTTGTTTTACTATTTTCATTTTATTTTCTAAACATTACTCTTGTGATAATACCCTTTTATTAATTTACCACGCAAAACAACATTCCATCCGCCTGTCATAACCAATGACTTTATATTCCCTCCCTCATGCGATCAAACATTTGTTCATACAGTTAGTGCATCGTACATTGGATGTTACCACGATGACTTTGACCGAGTACTTCCACACGGTATCATGCAGAACGTGACAGACCTGACAACTGAAACCTGCATGCAGCACTGCCATAGCATCAACTACATCTACTTTGGAACTGAGGTAGGCAAACACAGTTACTCTTATAGAGCTCCATGGGAAGACATGTTTTAAAATAGGTGTTATCTGCTTCACAGTCAATTGTGCATGTTTGTATTCACCCACAATCATGGAATGTCACCTAGTCCAACAATCTATATACAATTAGGCCCTGACTGTTACTTGACTAACCATCGATCCCAATTCCAGGACTACTCTCCTCACCAGGTCATCCGTGAAGATCTGGGGTAGAATAGGTCTTCAGCAACCCATGCTTGCCGTAAAAGGCGACTATGCTTGTCGTAAGAGGCGACTAACGGTATCGGGTGGTCAGGCTCCCTGACTTGATTCATGCATGTCATCGTATCCCAATTGCATCCACTACATATACTTTGGAACTGAGGTAGGCAAACACAGTTACTGTTTATAGAGCTCCATGGGAAGACATGTTTTAAAATAGGTGTTATCTGCTTCACAGTCAATTGTGCATGTCTGTATTCACCCACAATCATGGAATGTCAACTTAGTCCAACAATCTATATACAATTAGGCCCTGACTGCTACTTGACTAACCATCGATCCCAATTCCAGGACTACTCTCCTCACCAGGTCATCCGTGAAGATCTGGGGTAGAATAGGTCTTCAGCGACCCATGCTTGCCGTAAAAGGCGACTATGCTTGTCGTAAGAGGCGACTAACGGTATCGGGTGGTCAGGCTCCCTGACATGATTGATGCATGTCATCGTATCCCAAGTGCATCAACTACATATACTTTGGAACTGAGGTAGGCAAACACAGTTACTGTTTATAGAGCTCCATGGGCAAGCATGTTTAAAAATATGTGTTATCTGCTTCACAGCCAATTGTGCATGTCTGTATTCACCCACCATCATAAAATCGTCCCCTTAGACCACGATCTACATTCTGCAATACGGTAAGCCCTGACTGCTTATTGCTGAAAAAACAATGTTATTATTTTGGGTGCATATAAAATTTTGGAACTGATAATTACGCCTAACATTACTGTATTGCGGCGACATGTATATAATATGCATAAGTAATCGATGGTGAGTGAGTTACTATGACACCAATATCATACCTAGGGATCTTCCGAATTTCGGAGTGTTTTGGTATTACCCAGAATGTGAGTGAGTGAGTTGTGTTTAACGCCGCTTTTAACAGTATTCCAGTCATATCGCGGCGTGTCAGCTTAATGTGGGAGAAAAGCGTGTGTGAGTTGTGTTTAACGCCGCTAACCTGGTTCTTCATTGGTAGATATATGAGTGAGTTAGGGATTGGATTTAACACCGCTTTTAACAGTATTCCATTTATATCGCGGCGTGTCAGCTTAATGTGGGAGGAAAGCCCGAAGTGGTGCAGGTCTCAGACGTTTACCACTTCGGTGAAACCCACGGGCACGGGTATGGTGCTGACAAACCTAGAAACATAATCGGGGCTAACCGGGATTCGAACCCACAACCACAGATTTCTTTTAGTCTGAAGTCTGATGACGTTTAGCATGCTGTCAATGTCTGTGACCAGCTTTACAAATCACCACTTTAGAAAGATGTTGTTCCAATATCGTTTTGAAACATCATGGTTATAGTTCAGAAAGGACATCGGTTTGAGAAATAATTTTTTTGCAGGATATTTAATGGTGATTGTTAAGTGACGTCGAAAGAATGTATGCTCTCTATTAAGGAAGAATATATGGATGTCAACTTCTTTTTTATGAGGAACACAACGTTTCGGAGTACATGCTTACTCCTTCATCAGGTGAATGATGCTCTCTATTGTTTCTTATGCCACATGGCAAGTGATGCTTACTTTCTCTGATTACAGTGCACAAGTCAATGCTTCTGCGGTCATGTTATCAAACCTGGGCACGCCAAGGTACCCGACAAGGAATGCAACATGCCATGTGCTGGTGACAGCAGCTTGCTGTGTGGAGGATACTTTAGGACATCCATCTATAAGATTAACATTTAAAGTACCGTGTACACCACTATAAGCCTTCCCTTTGAACTATTTCAGCCATATTGTGACGAGAAGTTTTACATAAACAATACATGCATTTAGCCTTCATGAAAAACCTGTCATCGATAGACCCGAGCAGGATTTATACAACCCCCTTGTTTCTGCGATAGTTTCAACAAAATTGTGAACCATTTAACCAATCTAAGTTACTAGTTAGCGCTACCAATTTAAGAAAAAGTATCGCACTTTGTGCGCTAACAATTATCAGTTGATTTAATTTCTTAGAAGAAAACATTATTGAATGATCTAATGCAAAGTGAGACACCAAATCAGGTATAAATAAATGACCAAAAATACAATAAAACTACTGAATTGTGTAGTCAGTCAAGATTTAGAGAGGTCATTTTTTAGATGAATACACAATGCCTTTGAGAGGGGGGACAAATAGTGTTGGCGATTAAATGCCTCATTCTGAGAATGTGGTTAAGAATTCCGGATCGGAACTAACGCCCCAAAGTACTAGTATTTTTGGTGTGATGGCAGTTAATAACTTTTTAATCCTCTGATACTATATTTAATGAAACAAAACTGATATTCTTAATGTTGTACTGTTCATTGTTGATAGATTTTTATGTGCTGTTTAATTATACTAATGTATAGCATATTCTAGTCACGCTGTGGCTGACATATTTACGATCTGACTGCACAATTGACCGCACTCACTCCATCCGATGTCTATACACATCCCTGCCGTCAAGATGGTCTCATCTGTAAACAGTATGCTGTCCTAGTCTTGTCTTCTGATCCGCAGATGCTATCAATACCAATCTAGGCGTGCATGACGGTGATATGGAAGCATAATAGGGCGCCGTGCATAAACATGCACGTGCAAACTGTGAATCACCACCTATATGTATTTTCAGAATAAATTTATTTTTCATTGATGCACAGTTACTTTTGTCAATTAGTATGTAAGTATGGATCAGGTTCATCATAGGTGATCGTGACAAAGTTTGTATATGTGATTACCATACATGATTCTAAAAATGCCATGGCAATTACAAACGAATGAAATTAATACTTATTCAGAAGAGAATTGACCATTGTTGCCTGATACAATTTAATTATCTTAGTGATCAATCATATTTTCATATTTGGAGGGCATAGTCCATTCCAAACACATTTTTACATTAAATACTTGATGATGTGAATATCTGATTATTATCAGCAGAGCTACAGATAAGCTGCGGATTTGCGTACAAAACTCCCATAAAATATTCAAAACCCAATTTGTTTCAATTAACTTCCGTACAGAAACGCATGCATTAAATGATAAGCTCAATTGTATAAAAACAGCTCGCGTAAATTCCCAATGAAGTTTTCTTCAGCATGCATACACTGGAGCTAATTTCCGGACCACAATTACATGCTAATTTACTTTCCGAGTCAAGCCTATATTTAGAACCGTTATATATACTCAACAACAAAAGTTTCTGTAACACAAATATTTTAGTGTATTTTTCAAGCAAGTACAGTTTGATTTCAATATTGTAGTACATGTATGAAATCAAGTCACAAAAACGCAACTGCTACAGAAAAGCATGCATTCCATGCAAACGTTGACTTTTATGCAAGCCCCATGCATGTCACTACCGAAGAATGGATATAAAAACATGTGCGTTAACGGGATTCCATATGCATTGTTTAGCATCGTGCTGACAACAACCACTCAGAAAAACAACAAAATTACGCAATTTTTCAACATTACGAAATGCCACGCCTGTCCGAAAATGTGCGTTTGCGAGCTATAGGTATGCTTGAAGCAGGATCGAGTCAACGTGATGTTGCAAGACAAGTTAACGTCCACAGAAACACCATTTGGTGTTTATGGCAACGTTGGCAACAGACGAATGGAGTCAGAGACCATCCTCGGAGTGGCAGGCCACGCCTAACCAATAATTGACAAGACAACTGGATTCGAACAACACACCTACGAATTCGATTCCAGCCAGCAACAGTGACTGCAAGAAGCAGCCTTCGACGAATATCTTCACAAACCGTACGTCGCCGCCTCAGATGTGCAAGGATTGTCACCAGAAGACCCGCCACACGTCCCATTTTGACAGGAAACCGCCGTCAAGCACGTCTACAGTGGTGCAGACAGCATCTACGCTGGACGGCCATGCAGTGGGCACAAGTTATATTCACTGTTCTATTCACCTCAGCCACAGCGATGGACGGATTCGAGTGTACCGACGTCGAGGTGAACGTTACAATTACAGCAAGACAGAGGACCCGTTTAATGGTGGTAGAGGGAAATCTCAATGGACAGCGCTACCGAAACGACATCATCGGCTCTCTTGTTCTACCGTTTATGCGTCGTCATTGCCCAGGCATTACCTTTCAGCATGACAACGCCCGGCCTCATATTGCTCTACTTGTTCAGGATTCTCTTCAACAAAACAACGTGAATGTCATCTCCTGGCTGGCTCGCTCCCCTGATCTCTCACCAATCAAGCACATGTGGGATGAGATAGATGGATATGCGCCTTTGACGTCAACCACGTGTTCCGCAGACACTCCAGGAACTTCGAAACATGCTCCAGCAGATATGGACCGATATCCAACAGGACTTTGTGCGACGCCTGGTCCATTCCATCAGATGAAGATGTGTTGCTTGCATAGCAACCAGAGGTGGACACCCACGCTATTGATTTTTGTGAATTGACATTTTGGCATGTTCATGTTTTTTTTATGAAATCACGCATTTTCTGTCAGTATGGCAAATTAAACCATTTGAACACTTACAGGAGTCTTTTATCAGTTAAAAAACAAAAAAACAACATAATTTTGCATTAGACTCTAAATCTTATTCAATGTCACAGGAACTTTTGTTGCTCAGTATACCTCGAAAAATTATTATTATTTTTTTAAATCTGAAAAAGGTGTACTCATTTTGGACAAAACCCTTTAGATTGATACATAGATGAGTGACAAAATATAGGTCACCCAATGAAAATTGTAATAACCTAATTAAAATAGAAACCTTAGAGTAAAAACTCAATTGCTCAAAACGTTATTTGGAGCTCTGAATTATTTTGCCAACACAGCACTATGCAAGAGTCAAGCAAGTATAGTAAAGTTGGTAATAACTGATACATTTTTATGAGGTTCAGGTGTTGATGTGTAGCCATGACAGAGGTTCAGGTGTTGATGTGTAACCATGACAGAGGTTCAGGTGTTGATGTGTAACCATGACAGCGGTTCAGGTGATGATGTGTAACCATGACAGAGGTTCAGGTGTTGATGTGTAACCATGACAGGGGTTCAGGTGTTGATGTGTAACCATGACAGAGGTTCAGGTGATGATGTGTAACAATGACAGGGGTTCAGGTGTTGATGTGTAACCATGACAGACGTTCAGGTGATGATGTGTAACAATGACAGAGGTTCAGGTGATGATGTGTAACCATGACAGAGGTTCAGGTGATGATGTGTAACCATGACAGAGGTTCAGGTGATGAAGTGTAACCATGACAGAGGTTCATGTGTTCATATGTAACCATGACAGAGGTTCAGGTGATGATGTGTAACCATGACAGAGGTTCAGGTGATGATGTGTAACCATGACAGAGGTTCAGGTGATGAAGTGTAACCATGACAGAGGTTCATGTGTTCATATGTAACCATGACAGAGGTTCAGGTGATGATGTGTAACCATGACAGGGGTTCAGGTGTTGATGTGTTACCATGACAGAGGTTCAGGTGATGATGTGTAACCATGACAGAGGTTCAGGTGATGATGTGTAGCCATGACAGAGGTTCAGGTGATGATGTGTAACCATGACAGAGGTTCAGGTGATGAAGTGTAACCATGACAGAGGTTCAGGTGATGATGTGTAACCATGACAGAGGTTCATGTGTTCATATGTAACCATGACAGTGGTTCAGGTGTTGATGTGTAACCATGACAGCGGTTCAGGTGACGATGTGTAACCATGACAGAGGTTCAGGTGTTGATGTGTAACAATGACAGAGGTTCAGGTGTTGATGTGTAACCATGACAGAGGTTCAGGTGTTGATGTGTAACAATGACAGCGGTTCATGTGATGATGTGTAACCATGACAGGGGTTCAGGTGTTGATGTGTAACCATGATAGAGGTTCAGATGATGATGTGTAATAATGACAGAGGTTCAGGTGCTGTGTAACCATGACATAGGTTCAGGTATTGATGTGTAACCATGACAGAGGTTCAGGTGATGATGTGTAGCCATGACAGAGGTTCAGGTGATGATGTGTAACATTGACAGAGGTTCAGGTGATGATGTGTAGCCATGACAGAGGTTCAGGTGATGATGTGTAACCATGACAGAGGTTCAGGTGATGAGTAATCATGACAGAGGTTCAGGTGATGATGTGTAACCATGACAGAGGTTCAGGTGATGATGTGTAACCATGACAGAGGTTCAGGTGATGATGTGTAACCATGACAGAGGTTCAGGTGATGATGTGTAACCATGACAGAGGTTCAGGGGATGATGAGTAATCATGACAGAGGTTCAGGTGATGATGTGTAACCATGACAGAGGTTCAGGTGATGATGTGTAACCCTGACTGAGGTTCAGATGATGATGTGTAACAATGACAGAGGTTCAAGAACTGTGTAACCATGATAAAGGATGAGGTGATGATGTGTTACCATGACAGAGGTTCAGGTGATGATGTGTAACCATGACTGAGGTTCAGGTGATGATGTGTAATCATGACAGGGGTTCAGGGCATGAAGTGTAACCATGACAGAGGTTCAGGTCATGAAGTGTAACCATGACAGAGGTTCAGGTGAAGAATAATCATGACAGAGGTTCAGGTGTTGATGTGTAGCCATGACAGAGGTTCAGGTGTTGATGTGTAACCATGACAGAGGTTCAGGTGATGATGTGTAACCATGACAGAGGTTCAGGTGATGAAGTGTAACCATGACAGAGGTTCATGTGTTCATATGTAACCATGACAGAGGTTCATGTGATAATGTGTAACCATGATAGAGGTTCATGTGATGATGTGTAACCATGACAGAGGTTCAGATGATGATGTGTAACAATGACAGAGGATCAGGTGCTGTGTAACCATGACAGAGGTTCAGGTGATGATGTGTAACCATGACAGAGGTTCAGGTGATGATGTGTAACCATGACAGAGGTTCAGGTGATGATGTGTAACCATGACAGAGGTTCAGGTGATGATGTGTAACATTGACAGAGGTTCAGGTGATGATGTGTAACATTGACAGAGGTTCAGGTGATGATGTGTAACCATGACAGAGTTCATATGATGTGTAATCATGACCGAGGTTCAGGTGATCATGTGTAACCATGACAGAGGTTCAAGTCATGAAGTGTAAGCATGGCAGAGGTTCAGGTAATGAGTAATCATGACAGAGGTTCAGGTGATGATGTGTAACCCTGACTGAGGTTCAGATGATGATGTGTAACCATGACTGAGGTTCAGGTGCTGATGTGTAACCATGACTGAGGTTCAGGTGATGATGTGTAACCATGACAGAGGTTCAGGGCATGAAGTGTAACCATGACAGTGGTTCAGGTCATGAAGTGTAACCATGACAGAGGTTCAGGTGAAGAATAATCATGACAGAGGTTCAGGTGATGATGTGTAACCATGACAGAGGTTCAGGTGCCGTGTAACCATAAAAGAGGATGAGGTGTTGATGTGTAACCATGACAGAGGTTCAGGTGATGATGTGTAACCATGACAGAGGTTCAGGTGCTGTGTAACCATGACTGAGGTTCAGGTGATGATGTGTAATCATGACATAGGTTCAGGGCATGAAGTGTAACCATGACAGAGGTTCAGGTCATGAAGTGTAACCATGACAGAGGTTCAGGTGAAGAATTATCATGACAGAGGTTCAGGTGATGATGTGTAACATTGACAGAGGTTCAGATGATGATGTGTAACCATGACAGAGGTTCATATGATGTGTAATCATGACCGAGGTTCAGGTGTTGATGTGTATCCATGACAGAGGTTCAGGTGATGATGTGTAACCATGACAGAGGTTCAGGTGATGTGTAACCATGACAGAGGTTCAGGTGATGATGTGCAACCATGACAGAGGTTCAGGTGATGATGTGTAACCATGACAGAGGTTCATGTGATGTGTAATCATGACTGAGGTTCAGGTGTTGATGTGCAACCAGGACAGAGGTTCAGGTGATGACGGCAACCATGACAGAGGTTCAGGTGATGATGTGCAACCATGACAGAGGTTCAGGTGATGACGTGTAATCATGACAGAGGTTCAGGTGGTGTGTAACCATGATAGAGGTTCATGTGATGTGTAACCATGACAGAGGTTCATGTGATGATGTGTAACCATGACAGAGGTTAATATGATGTGTAATCATGACCGAGGTTCAGGTGATGATGTGTAACCATGACAGAGGTTCAGGTGATGATGTGTAACCATGACAGAGGTTCAGGTGATGTGTAACCATGACAGAGGTTCAGGTGATGTGTAACCATGACATAGGTTCATCTCATTTGTAATCATGAGAGAGGTTCAGGTGATGATGTGTAACCATGACAGAGGTTCGGGTGATGATGTGTAACCATGACAGAGGTTCAGGTGATGATGTGTAGCCATGACAGAGGTTCAGGTGATAATGTGTAACCATGACAGAGGTTCAGGTGATGATGTGTAACCGTGACAGAGGTTCAGGTGATGATGTGTAACCATGACAGAGGTTCAGGTGATGATGTTTAACCATGACAGAGGTTCAGGTGATGATGTGTAACCATGACATTGGTTCAGGTGTTGATGTGTAACCATGACAGAGGTTCATCTGATTTGTAATCATGACAGAGGTTCAGGTGATAATGTGTAACCATGACAGAGGTTCAGGTCATGAAGTGTAACCGTGACAGAGGTTCAGGTGATGATGTGTAACCATGACAGAGGTTCAGGTGATGATGTGTAACCATGACTGAGGTTCAGATGATGATGTGTAACCATGATAGAGGTTCAGGTGATGATGTGTAACCATGACAGAGGTTCAGGTGATGATGTGTAACCATGACTGAGGTTCAGATGATGATGTGTAACCATGACAGAGGTTCAGGTGAGGATGTTTAGCCATGACAGAGGTTCAGGTGATAATGTGTAACCATGACAGAGGTTCAGGTGATGATGTGTAACCTTGACAGAGGTTCAGGTGATGATGTGTAACCATGACAGAAGTTCAGGTGATGATGTGTAGCCATGACAGAGGTTCAGGTGATGATGTGTAACGATGACAGAGGTTCAGGTGATGATGTGTAACCATGACAGACGTTCAGGTGATGATGTGTTACCATGACAAAGGTTCAGGTGATGATGTGTAACCATGACAGAGGTTCAGGTGATGATGTGTAACCATGACAGAGGTTCAGGTGATGATGTGTAGCCATGACATAGGATGAAATGATCATGTGTAACCATGACAGAGGTTCAGGTGATGATGTCTAACCATGACAGAGTATCAATTGATGATGTGTAACCATGACAGAGGATCAAGTGATGATGTGTAACCATGACAGAGGATTAAGTGATGATGTGTAACCATGACAGAGGATCAAGTGATGATGTGTAACCATGACAGAGGATGAAATGATGATGTGTAACCATGACAGAGGTTTGGGTGATGATGTGTAACCATGACAGAAGTTCAGGTGATGGTGTGTAACCATGACAGAGGTTCAGGTGATGATGTGTAGCCATGACAGAGGTTCAGGTGATGATGTGTAACCGTGACAGTGCAGAGATGTACAAGTTATAAATTTGATTCATGTGGGGTACGAGTTATAAATGTGGTTCATGTGGTGTACAAGTTATAAATGTGGTTCATGTGGTGTAAAAGTTATAAATGTGGTTCATGTGGTGTAAAAGTTATAAATGTGGTTCATGTGGGGTACGAGTTATAAATTTGGTTCATGTGGTGTACAAGTTATAAATGTGGTTCATGTGGGGTACGAGTTATAAATGTGATTCATGTGGTGTAAAAGTTATAAATGTGGTTCATGTGGTGTACAAGTTATAAATGTGGTTCATGTGGGGTACGAGTTATAAATGTGATTCATGTGGTGTAAAAGTTATAAATGTGGTTCATGTGGTGTACAAGTTCTAAATGTGGTTCATGTCGGGTACGAGTTATAAATGTGATTCATGTGGTGTAAAAGTTATAAATGTGGTTCATGTTGTGTACAAGTTCTAAATGTGGTTCATGTGTACAAGTTCTAAATGTGGTTCCAGGCGGCAGCAGTGGTACAGCTCTGCACTATGGCATCCAGGCAATGAAGGACTTCGGCTTCGGTGAATGTGTGTGTATGTGTGTGAGAGAGAGAGTTGTGGGCTGTATCTTGGTTATATCACAGCGTGTCAGATAGATGTGGGAGGAACAGGATGTAACGCAGGTGAATGCCATGAACTCGGGTCTGGAACCATACTCATTGTCAAACTAAGATTCTAACCCCGATCACAGAGATTCTGGAGAGCCGTCTCACGTTATCTGCCCCGCATACTTCAGACCAACCTGTTGATTGGGGGAATAGGTCAATATTTAATTGACAATAAATTCTTTATGTGTTAAGACATTGTAAAAATACCTCAAAATCCCCCAAACGTTTTTTTTCTTCTTTTTTAACTTTAAGATAGCTGCTACAACTAAAGGTCGTGCGAATTTACAGTGCAAGTCCTTTTCAGTTGTGATATAACGCTCAAAGTCGTTTGACTTCCAGTCACCGTGTAAGTACAGCCTCCCCTCGGAAGGAATGTCCACTGTAATCTTGAGGTGAACCCACATGCCGCTAGCACACGGCCCAACGCCTTGACAAACATATCGTGAGTCACACAGTCAACCCGAGCTGTGTCTAAGAATGAGAACACATGGCATGTCACCGGTATCATGTTCTGGACCTGGCGAAGAGATTGTAAAGCTGTTACTGGACACAAGAGTGAGCTGGCCACGTTACACAAGGGAACTTGCAGAATCCTTGACCAAACTGGATAGTTTTGCTATGTCTAATTGTTAAGAGCACTTTATCACTACACCATGTGACGTCACGAATACACAACTTGTGAGTGGTTTGGATTTTCCACATTGTAGGGCAACAGAGTCGATTTTCTTAAAAATGTGAAAAGCCCACCACACAGGATGACCAGGAAGCTATGTTGAAGAGTGAGGTCAGGTCTAATTTTTGACGTATCTTCAGAAGAATAGCAGGCGTGATCGGTAACTTCTGTGCTGGTGGTTACCTTCTAATCTCATTGCTTACCGCAATATAAGATTGGTGCAAGTTTACGAAGCGCATAGTGAGACGGTAGCCAGTATATATATCTTTCTCTTGGCATTCGTGACCAACTCCTGTTATTCCGGGACAAGCCGAATATTGTAGGTTACGGAAAGGGGCGAGTGGAGAGCAGCGACACCAAGCGAAGGATGCGGGAAACAGTCTAGGCTAGTGCTGTTGAGGAGCTTCCTTCCTCTATTTAAATACAAGGTAGCACTGGGAACGAGGCATCGCTGTGAGGAGCTAGGACTAGCTGCATCGAGACTTGTCTTGACGTGTTGACAGGGGCCGGAGCTCGTCCACGCATTTCCTAGTAATACAACACAGTAAGTGTCGACGGATTTTTGCTTGTCTGTAATCATCACTGTGTGACTATTTATTGTCGGGTTGAATTTGAGAACGAATAGTTAAGTGTTTATATTAATATAGACGCGATGTTGGTAACTGAGAAGCCCAGTGGCGTCAGGAAGAACAAGTACTATATATGTTTCTTGGTCCCGTTGTTACAGAATGGCGAAATCCAACAGATAACATAAACAAGGGATACATTACTTTTTACTACAATGATCGGTGCATGTAGACTATTTTTACAAAGTGTAACATGAATTTGTCATGGTTCTCCCACTTTACTAAAACATACTGATATTTGGTGCTTTTGGAGGTGGCAGAGGGGCTCAAAATGTATCTGTAAATATCTGTCATGCACACATTGTTCAAACTGAAACCCATAATGTTGTGAGTCGCGTAGCTTAGGTACAATCCTGAATCATGTTTCTCAAGGAGAGTTACCTCCCTTATGCTAAGCGTACTGTATGTTTACTCCTTTGCCCTGACACGTCAATTATTCACGCTGTACTAAGTCCTCACATATCGCTACATGAAAAACCAGGTCAACATTCACGCCTGCCCCCTTGATAACAGTGATAACGTGTTAAGGATAATAATTTATAGTTAAGTTTTATAGTTTTAGAAAAAAAAATGTCATTATGATTCACTCATTTCATATGTACACATGTCATTATACGTGTGAGACATACATATGGTTTCTTTAAAAACAATGTTTACGCATAACTCATTACTCATATCATAGAGTTTGTCCCCCTTTTATCATAATGCCCGACTAACAAGGACATATTAAGTGTACAGATGTACAGTTAGGAATGGTTTAACCTTTAGCCTGCTGATATCTTTTAAAACTGACATCAAACAAAAACAACACCAAATAAAGCATGGTAGGCACGGCATGCAATAATGGTACCAATACTCACCACTATTACTGCAAATATTCTACCTTTGGAAAGTTGCCATGACTCGCCGAACCGAGAGCTGAGAGCAGTCTTAATAGTGGGTGACCGTAGTCCTTCTCTTAGACTTGTTTGCCCTAGAGAAATAACTTGTGCCGCCGCTGTGCTCCGTCTCTCATATCACACTTTACCTTTGGCGCAAGTTGACGCAAGTTGGATATACGCGGCATAAACACAGCTATATTTAACACTGTTTTTTCCAGCGTCTTGTTCTTCCCCGCCCTGAAGGCAGGGAAGTATACATGAACCGTTACTTTTGTAGCGTGTATCTCGACATGTTAGTTTATTTGAAATTTCAAGCCACGCATTTACCTAAACGAAACATACAAATCATGTTCGTGAAATGTTGATGCTATTCTTTTGCAGCAATAAGAGATACTTCAAAATCGTCTTGCAATTCTGAGACTTAGTCACGTTTCCTAATGCAGATAACCCATGACAATTGTCATTTTCTTTTTAAAAGAACTAAAAATGTTAAGGGTAAATATATATATATCTCATATTAACCGGTCTATATTTTGCAAGAATAAACTATTGTGCATTGAGCGATTATCTCCTTTAGCTATATGCGCAGTAAAGAGCTTTATCACGCGCTGACCTTGCAATGCTGTACATCTTATCTTATACAAGCTGTATCACAGAGCGTGAGTCATTATCTCCCTTACCCGAACAGCTCTGTTATGCACTACCTTTGCAATGTATAGTATGTTATTCAGGTCAGAATTTAGGTCAAGGCTGTCACGCACACTCAATCTTTCAACTTCACATTGCCGTTGCAACATATTGTACAACACGATTAAATAACAGGCTTCTATAAAGTATGATTTTGTTCAACAAACAACAAATGTAAAACAATGGGTTTGATATGATAAATTTGCAATTTGTTGTTTTCATGATCACATGTATGACCCTTGCTGGCCATAGTTGAGCACAGTATTGTTTCAAATAGTTCACTTTATGTAATGTACAAAATTAACAGTTTCCGTATACTTACCCGCCTTCAGGGCGGGGAAGTATGATTCATACCATTTCATGCGGCGGTTAACGGTTCTGCATGGTTTATTGCTTTGACAGTTTTTGAAACTTCCGGCAGAGATTATATACCCGTATATGTTCTTTGCTTCTGGATACATAGGAAATCAACAGGTTGGTCTGCAGTAGTAGTATAGGTAATGGGGGTTCTGGACCACTTCCACTGGAGCCGGATTTATATACCTATACTGCTACTACAGAGGGAATTTTTTATGCCAAAATGATTATGCGATTCAATGATAGTCATAAGTTGTATTAAACGAAACATCAATATTAATTAATTATGGATAAAATTTACTATAGCCCATGAGGATATTGGAAAGGTGTAGGAGCAATAAAAAAATTAGCCACCACGGCTAAGGCTTCTAAAGATGTGGCCAAGGATTGGTTAGAGAAACAAGCGATGTGGCAGATATATTTACCGGCACCGCGTTTTATACCGAGGAAGAAGTTTGATATTTTTACAAGGAATGAAGTTCATCAGGCTGACCTCTTGTTTCTTCCCCACGATAAGGTAAAATGCAAAACGTATAAATACGCTTCAACAGTAGTGGATGTGGCTAGTTGATACAAAGAGGCTGAGCCATTAACCTCGAAAGAATCAACAGAGGTAGCTAATGCACTGAGACGCATATATAAACGCGGACTGCTAAAATGGCCTAAGCTATTTCAAGTAGATCCCGGTCGCGAGTTTATGAGATCGGTAACTAAACTGTTAACAAAGCACGATGTCGAAATCGTCCGTGGTGAAAGAAAGGCCCACCACAGTCAAGCTATCGTTGAAAGATTTAACAGGACATGAGCGGAACGTTTGTTTGGCTATCAGTATGGGATCAAAATGAAATCGGAACGATTAAGATCAACCGAATGGGTGACACGATTATAAGCCGTTGTATCAGCGCTGAATAATGAAGTAACGAGATTAATAGGGAAGAAACCATCCGATGCTTTTAAAATGAAATCCGTGACTTCCGAATCTTCAGCACCGAGGAGAGGAAAAGAATGAAAACTTCCGGATAGAGTAAGGGTAAGATATTTATACCAGGCAGGTGAACTCGAAGGAGGCCTACGTCGCGCAACCGATCCCATATGGTCCCTTAAAACGTATAACATTAGTAGATTGGTTACGAAAGAAGGAGAGCCTATTCTTTATTATCTTCAAGATGGACCGGGTAGGGCATTTGTACGAGAAGAGTTGTTCATAGTTCCCGACGGTACGGTATTACCAGCATAACATAAGCATAGGTAGTTACACCATCATTATCAATCCATCTCTTTGTATCTAAGGGGGATAATGATGTCTTGTTCATTCTTAATCCATATATCCTATGATTGTAACTTCTTAAAGAGTTCATCTCGTGTTTGAACGTTCTACCGTTGAATAATGATTCTTTATACTGTTCGTGTTTGATATGCTTTTTTACAACATACTTCTTAACGCCCCTAGCTTTTCTTATCTCCCCATTATCAGACTTCTTTATAGATTACATCTTAGGTCTTAATCCTACATACTCCGCTATAGGGGTCCCAGCACATTCATCCTTCATCTTACCTAACACCTTTTTATTTACTACGCTGTGTAGTGGATTATCTTTTGGGTAATCGCTCGTGTCATACATGTCTATTTTTTCTGCCATATCTTTATACACATCCTCGATTTGTATTTCCATCAACAAAGAATCTGTGTCGGTATATAACACCTCGCATCTATCTCCGTATTGCTTCTTAAGTTCGTTGTAATAAAAGTCATACATTAAGTGCTTTGACAAGTCGAGAATACCCATACCGACGTACACCGGTCTGTTGAATTTTATATTACTTTTCTGCATATGCAACCCGGCTAAGTCGTTATCGAATATCTTGCTTCTGTTAAAAGCCGGACTGGCTATAAGTTTCCTGAGTCTTTCTTCCTCATTAGATCTGACTAATTTCACATCAACACGCTTCCTTAGATTCTCCATAGTTTTACCAAATACTGAGTTATTCATGAGCTTATACAGATTCTTTTCGAAATCGCTGGTAGCTATGTTTCTTAAATCTATGTTCAACCTTATATAGGGCTCCATCCAAGGACTTTGATCAAACTTTAGAACTCTGTGTATTTTCTTAAGTTTCATACCTAACGATAGATACAACTGGAGATTTCTGTAGTGAACTATATATTTTGTCTTATCCATCAAATTTGGTACGAGTTTTTCTATGTTAGCTAACCTTCTATTACCCATCAAGGAGTGTTGATATTCCGACATCCAATCTTTATTAATCATTAATCTTTCGGGAGCTAGCAGATAACTGTTATGATCTTTATGTAACGAACTTGGATATTCCAAGTCAACTTCTAGTATGTACCCTTTATTCGCATCATTCACATTGATATCATTCTCATCGACCCACTCAAAACCACCCGTGGGTAAAGGTTGACTCATAGCCCATCCGTACAAATTGTTAGCGTCGAGATATAATATATGCGTGTCAGGTTTACTCGGATGGTATCCTTCCACTAATTTATTATTAGCCTTAGAATACCTTTTCGCTGCCATCGATATACCACCTCTTAATCCTTTCTCAATAAACAAGTGCATATCGTAATCTGTGAGTAGTTTTAGTTCTACGCCGGTCTTCTTCAACAATGCATCCCACGATAGTCCGGGACTGGAATAGTACCATGCCGGGTCCAAGCCGTATTGTTTTAAACATGTTTTTCTAAATAACATCGAATATATCGGCGAGTAACAGTACATCGGTTTTAAATACAGATCGTGATAATCACCTAAATTCTTACAACCTAATTTATCCCAGACCGTCAGAGCGTGTTCATAATCGGCATCTGTTATTTTAGATTCTGTTAAGTAACTATAGAATGATTCGAGGGGTGGTAATTCAGTTTCTTCGAATCTAGACCAATCATCCATATATTCGTAAGGATATATACCTTTTCTCAGCAACAAATGACGAGTTATCTTATCGGTATATTGATTTGTTATCGCAAAGTCATCGGGATTGTTCGCATTAGCTAAATTGTCCAGGGAAGATAACAGAAACTGGAGGGAGTCTATGAATCTAAGCCCATTACTTTGCTTTATTCTAGATTTCCCATCCTTGTCCCTATAATGTATAGGTTTAGTCAACGAGAACGATATGTATTTTTCCATATTGTTAGGAATGCACGTTAAACCGCCATCGGTCTTTGAGATAGCTTGCATGATGAGATGTGAATCGTATCCCCTAAGGTTGTGAAACACAACGGGGATGGGTATTGTTTGAGAATTCATTTTTAGTTTCAAGTTACACTCGTTATGAGCGGCCCCCCGATAATTACCCTTGACGTGGCAATGATCTCTTACAGAATCCCCATCCAGGGGTTTATTACAAACGTGACAACTCGTTGACTTCTTATAGGCCCTCCAATCATCCCTCCTCATACGCATGGGTTTCTTACACGATAATTTTTCCTGATTATTCTCTCTTCATTTTGTAGATATTCTAGGAACTTTCCCGCTGCATCGAGACCTCTGTAAATCACGGGCGGGTTTGTTTTCCCATCATACCTTACAACTATATATCCAAACCCACAAGGAATATGTTCTTGAGTTTTGTACGAAAAATACTATCTTGATTGCTACGGTTGGTATTTTCTATGGGTTTGATAAGCGCTTCGAAGTCGGCGTAAATTACGTACGGTACTGGCATTTGATTACAATAATATTCAAATTTTAATATATTTTTTCCCTCTTTAGGCATATCGATCCTGATAGCATTCTGTCCAACAACTCTACAGTCTTCTTTATGCGCTTCTAATAGATCTTGTCTGCCGTACCCATGCAGGCATCTTTCGCAGAAATATTTCTTTTCCTTATGTTTTGTTTGATCGTATAATAGCCTGTTTAAACTCTTTATCCACGTATAATGATATTTACCATCTTTTTCGATCAGAAATGAATTGATTCTGGGAATATGTTCTGGAGCGGAGCTTATCCTGTGTACAACAATTCCTTTAGAA